CTTTTCTTCTTCAGCCTTCTCTCTTTTTTCGGTATATGTTTGTAGGAAAGTGAGCATTTCAGCGGCTGACGAATTACTCTTTCATTTCCGCTGTCTACGAGGTTTCACTTCTTTTCTTACTACATTTTCATCATTATCAGCATCATCACCACTTGAGTCTGAGCAATTTCCATTGTGAGTTTAATAAATATGATTTGTGAAGTTGTGCTAACTTGATTTAACAAAATGGCAAAACGGTGGGAACAGAACTACTGACGAGCGAAAGTCGAAGTTAGGGTAATTCGAGCAAGATAAAAAAAAGCATAACTACAGCTGTAAAATTCCGTTGCTGGTTGAAGGAAACAAATTGCTGCATTGATGCTGTAGAAAAAGATTGAAATCGTTAGACACAAAGCCACACGCTGAGCATTGATACGCTGCTCCGCCCGCCATTATTGCTGTTCAGTTCAAGTGTCCACGTGAGCTCACGCTCGGTAGGGAGACTAAACCCGACATCTCTTGCCAATGGAACTCAAGATTTTCGATAATTTCGGAAATTCCATCAAAGAGGGTGCACTCAAAACGTGTTCCTAAATTTTCGAAAACTTTTCCCGGAATTTTTACCGTTCCATTCAATTTCGGACCGGAAATCTCGGAATTTTTGGTCGAATGGAAAGCGCCCCAAGATTTCAGGAGTTCCGGTTTCACAGCGCTTGCGTGCCTTGGTTTAAAACATGGCAATCTCGTTTCCAGAGCCCACGTGTCTTTTGGTCAGTGCGCTGGTATTTAACCGCGGCGTGTTCAAAATTTAGCTCCACTTAGCTGGCGAGCGTCATGGCGCGAATGCTATTGTGGCTGGTATCGCTACTCGCATCTTGCAAGACCTCGGACGTTACTAGTATGAAATTTCAAGTTTTCGAAGAACTACAAGCTGGAACTTTTGTAGGAGACATTTCAGCGAGTTCCTCAGTCAAAGCAATGGCCACAAATGAGGACATCAAGGTAGAGCTTCAATACAAGTTCAAAGCACTGCAAAAGTATTTCCGCATCAACGAAAGTACTGGTATTATACGGACTACCGCGAAGATAGACCGTGAGAACGTGTCCCTTGGACTAGTTCGCGACGCGTTTGAAATCTGGTTTGAAGCCTCGAAAGGAGATATGACAGATGCTATACCGACAGAGATCAAGATTCTAGACATAAATGACAACAGTCCTATTTTTAAGGAGGATATTGAGAATATTTCTGTTAAAGAATCTGTTCCACTAGGTATAGAGTTGTCAATAACGGTGGCGGAAGATTCGGACATTGGTAACAATTCTGTTCAAAGTTACGAGATTGTTGACAGGAACGACGGCGGGGTATTTGACTTAAAAGTATCGCGCCTTACTTCAGAAATATTTCAAGTCAAACTTGTCGTGTCGAAAAGGCTGGACCGCGAAATAAACGACAGCTACTATTTGGTGATAGAGGCGAGAGATGGGGGTAGCCCACCAAGGGTTGGACGCAAAGGTTTGAGTATCACAGTTCTAGATGCGAACGATCACTCTCCCAAATTCAGCAAAGATCGCTATGTCGGCGAGGTTAGAGAGAATTCTCGTGTAGGAACGTTTGTGCTTAATGTTACTGCGACAGATAAAGACATTGGTACAAACGGTGAAGTGGTCTACTCTCTCCAAGTTCCGCCTCAATACAAAGATCTTTTCACGCTGGACGCGCGAACGGGCGAAATTCGTACAAACGCTGCGTTAGATTATGAACTCTCGAAGGATTACCGGCTAAAGGTGACGGCGAGAGACAAAGGACCGGACCCCATTCCGTCATATGCTGTGGTAAATGTGAAGGTTAGTGTACATTGTTTACATAGAGTTTGATTCTCTTTGTAGGTGCACTCGTAAATGAAGTTAAACGCTCGAAAATGATGTTTTGCTGGGTCACGATCGAGCTAATAATTATATAATCGCGGAGAAAACTGATAGTAAATAATATAATGTAATTAATGTAAGTCATTATGGTAGTTTAAAGAACATTGCGTCCTCCTTTCATGGCCATTGTTCATTTAGTTTGACTTTTCAGGTTTGGTAAGTTTATGTTGAAATTTACACTAAGATTTGCATGTTGTTTAAACACCAGTTGATAGATAGGCGAAAAGACCGTTGAAAGAAAAGCGAGAGAGGTTGCTTGATGATCTTTCCATACCGTATTTATACGGGCGTGCGAAGCTATAGATTTTTGTTGGCTTTCTGTAACTTACACCGTATCTTCTTTCGTTTGGAAGTGATTGGTTTCCAAATGCTTCGATTCAGGAAAATAATTAGTGCTGTTTTTCAACGAGAGAGATAACATCAGTCTCTGATGAACCCTTATCGTGAAAGTCTTTATTAATCCCTGCTGTGAATTCAATGATGTTGGCTTATTAGACACAATATACAGTTTTGTGCCCTCGGAGCCATGCCCTGTCTTTACGATTAGGGACTAATTCCTTGGTAGATAGCACATCTCTTTCAAAATGAAAGGTTAAAGATGTCTGCAATCGCGCTATCTCTTTGTGTTAAAATTCTGACTTTCTCTTTTTGTTTGGGTTCGTGGTTAGTATCTTGGTTGCTTTCTGTTTGCCAAGTTTTCAATTTGACAGGCGGCGCTCTATCATTTCTTCCTATCCTTTTGCGTTTGACACTATTGTTTCCATGGCTTTTCCACTGCGTTCTAATCCTGTTTTGTGTTTTTAGCGTGTTAAAAACTTCGGGAATCGGACCAGTTTCTCCTTTTAACAGATTTTTTCAGCAAGCTTGTTAGCGCAGTTTTTAGATGGTATCAGAGAAGGCGGCTGCCCTGTTATCTCTCTCGTTTTGATTACAGTTTACGTGTGGGATCCTCTTTAAAAGATTTTTTCAACAAGCTTGTTAGCGCAGTTTTTAGATAGTATCAGAGAAGGCAGCTGCCCTGTTATCTCTCTCGTTTTGATTACAATTTACGTGCGGGATCCTCTTTGCATTCCTGCTAGGATTTTCTGTGTGTTATAAGCGCGGCGATTGAACCGAAATCGAAACATCCTCGCTAAACGTGCTAACAGGAATTAATAAGCCACGTATTTCAAATTTCCTGATTGTAATTAAAAAATCTGCGTACTCTACGTATGTGAGTAATGTTTCTTCGTTTGGCAAGGTATGCCTTCTGTTCACTGATATCTCTGAAATGTTGACAAGCCAAAAATGCTTGTTTACATTCGGTAAAAAAGAATGAAGTAAGTTTCAAGGACTCCAGCATTGTTTTCGGCAGACACTCAATGATGAAGTACATGTGCTGTGCTTTTGACTCCATGGTAGCTTTTAACGTCAAATCATTTTTGCCCTTGTGGGGCATCTCTATTGTCTGGAATCCTCCACGGTGAAACAAAAACATTCCAGTTCCATTCAAGTAAAAGTGCAGTATTTTACGATATACACTCTATATATTGGAATCAACTGGCCCCAAGTGCTATGTTTCTTTTCACCTCTTAGATACAAAACCCTGGTTTCTTGTTTGCGTGGTAGATTTTCCTTGCAAGTCGATATTGGCCTCGCATTTTTATTCTAGTTCGTGAAAATTTATTGTTTTGATAATCTTACTTTTATAAGCCAAAACGCCTTGTCATTCCAAAGAGAAAGAAAAATTCCAGAAAATCGTTCAGTCTAGTAAAGAACTTTCTCCTGAATCGGGGTGGGCAAACATCAAAGATGAAGCAGGCGTGTTTATATTTCTAATGGTTGTATGTATACAACTGTGAGGCAAGAATATGTAGTCAACTTTTCTCGGACTGTCAAAAGTTTTTCTCGATGATCAAAGGCACAAAACCCAACATAAAACCGGAGGTTACATTATGAGGCCGATCCATGCCCTTATTTTTTGGCGGTGGCATATTTTGACGATTCCAAAGCAACCGTTGAAACCATCTTTCAGGGCGCAACCTAACAGGCCTAAAGTTTACGATTTATAAAAGGCGTCGCTCAATATATTGCCAACCAGAACCACGAGACGAACCGCCTCGCGATGTATGCCCACTGTTATTTTCGGTGTCGACTTCGATGGGTGATCAAGCTATTTTAAGGTTAGCAAACAACTGCTGTTACTGCTTTTTTTCAGTTGCAAAGTTCGAGTCGAGAACGGCGGAAATCTTGAAAGATGAATTGAAAGAGAAAGAACGCTATTTCAAGAATTATGTTTGGAACATAGAAAAGATGTCTACGTGTTTCTTTTTGCATATATGGTTAGAGGTTGCAGTAAAACCCATTTCCGTTTCATTATTTTGCATTTTCTTTTCTTTTCCTTGTTTTTGAACATTTTTGTTCGGTGACAAAAATATCTGAAGCGTGACTTGGCTAAACAGTGAAATAAATAAAACTAGTTCTAAATTCGTAGAGTATAAAAATGTTTCGGAACTTTTACAAAATGGTCTGTACATACATGTTACAAATCCCACAAGCCTTTAAAACGTTTTTAGTTATTCAAAAATGACAATGTGTTGAGGGAACCCGCAATGACATTAACCATTATCAGGTGATAAATGGCCAAAGGAAATTTTGTTTCAACAATACTAATGGCCACGTATTTATTTTAACCGCAAGCAACATTCCGGGAATTCAACCCGAAAAAAGGACTAAATGCGTTGTAAAATAAACTCGTTTTGTGATGTCTAATTTGTTTAGAAATTGTTTGAGGCGTGTTCAGAACAAGTTTGTCACTAAAAACAACAGCTTACCGCAAGTTTGCAAATTGATACGTGACCACGACCGAGGTGGATCCATTATTCAACGGAATTGCGCGTGGATTAAGTAGGAATATGAAAACAAAAGTGAAATAAAAGCCGTCTCGACAATTTCAAATTGTCAAAATTTGGGTAGTGAGCTTTTTCCCTAAAAAGAGAATAGAAGAAAACATGTGCATCAACTGGAAATCTGTTAAATGACCTCTTCATGATAATTAATCAGTTTACGTTCGTCTATCAACGAGGGTAACGCGCGTGACGCTCATCCTTCGCGCGGGAAACCGTTCTTGTCGTTAATCTGTTCTTCAAATTGCGTTTGTTCCGCTGGGAGGATTTCAGTGTTGAGTCTGGCGTAAGAAATATTCTTGAATTTCCGGATAAGTCCATTGTGGATTAATTGGTTAAAGGTTAAAGTTTCTATTTCATGAGAGGGCTTGAGAAATTATATGCACTCAGCTTGATTTGACTATTAAACTGAGTTATAAACATTAAGGAAGTCAGGTCACGATTTGTCATCCAGTGCCATTAAGTTAAGCGCAGAAAACACTCAAAACAAGTACAAATATCTTAGGATATTTCTTATCCTGACGACAGATTTAACAGTGCGCTGTAGTGCTCTTATTCCGTTTGACCGCACGAAAACACGTGACACAGATAAAGGCTGGATTTTGGGAAAGAGAAACGTAGACATTTACAGCCACATAACCTATTGCTGAAGTATCTACCAACATTAATGTATTGTATTTTTTTTTCTGTGTTCAGCAAAACTATCTTCAAGTCAAGGTTGTCTAAAATAAAAGCTATGTAAGGTGGAAAAACAGAAACGAAGTAAAAAAAAACCAAAAAGGAAAAAAAGATGCGCTTGAGGAAGACTGAGACGCATTACGAAAGATAAACGTTAAAAATTTGGGCTGTGCATTTGATGAAGCATGGGACGTAACGATTTTTTCCAGGTCGATTTTGCTGCTCCAGTAAACTGCTAATTTTTGCTCGCCTTTGAAAATAGCATATAAACTTGCGTGCGTAGTTTGGTTATCATTCGTTACCTGTATAGCGGTTTCCCGAAAACGTGAGTTCTGCTGGGGATTTCCTGATTTGCTTTAAACGGCTGATATAAGGGTAAAAAACTCGCTATGATTTAATCGCTTTTAGTAGTTTACCAGGGGCTCAATCGAGTTTGACTTCACGAAACCTGAAAAAAAGAAAGGAAGAAAGAAAGACGGACAGACAGACAGAGAGAGAGAGAGAGAGAGAGAGAGAGAGAGAGAGAGAGAGAGAGAGAGAGAGAGAGA